CTAATATTTACTCATAATATAATTTTTGATATAAAAATAGTATAAAAACAGGGCATATAATGAATAAGAAGTGTAACGATTGGAGTGAATAATACTTTGCAAATTATCAAGGTAGTGCATACAACACGTCAAGTTATAAAGAACATTAGGGAAATCCTACTTTAGATTAAAAGGGCAATTCTTTTATGATACTATTTATTGTATTAAGTTATAAAAAGTTGTTTCTTGGAACTTAAATCTAGATAAGAAAAATTATAAATAATTAAATATTTATCTCTTTATTATTGTATTTTCTTCCCACATCAAAAGCGTTACATTTATTAAATTTTAATGTTTAATTGTAAAATACATTTGAATAATCATAATGTGTTTAACAGATCACTGTTTTATTTATTAGACAACATATTATTTTTATCATTATAATTGTTGCACTTAATACCTGTCATTGCATATTTTAATTTAACAATGCTTTTTACGGTATGTATGGTATATATTAGAGACTATTGGTTTTTTAATTTCCTGTAATTATTATGTAGATTTATAAGTAATTTAATTCATTAAATTAGTTTACTATTTAGAAATAAAGGTAAAATTAATAACTTATGTGATCACTTTTGATATAGTCCGTCATTATATGATTGATTTATGTCTACGTACAACATAAAGCTAATCAAACTATCTATTTTCGATTAAGTGTTCACTCAAATTATAAATATGGTTTTCAAAATTCCTGTTTAAACAATTATTATTATTACTTAAATAAACATTTTTATTAAATAAGAGTTTAATTGTATAATTAAATTACAACTAGTAAAATAAAAAAATTATTTTCAATGCTTTTATATAATTTAATAGATTATACGATTAATAGATTAATAATATCCGCAAGCTCCACCAAATCCATTATTGACTTGTGTTATACATTTAATATTCCCATATAGTTTACATTTAATAAATAATTACAGTTTGTCTGCACTATTATCATGTAAAAAGTTATGTTTAAAAACCATAGAGTCTATGGCAAAGACAAATCCATTAATATTTAGAGTTGGCATAAGAACTATTAAATTAAGATTAATAAATTGTTTAACAGTAATATTACACCCATTGTATGCCTGCTCACAAGTCCCGTATGACTTATATCATATGCTATTACCACAAATGTGGTCAACAGTTCCCGTTTGAAGTCTTTTACAATATGTATCTGAAGAACTCGATGACCATACCATCGATGCCACCGATTGCCACATATTTGAGATAATTATAATAAATAAATAATATTTAGAGATTGTATTTAATATCACACTTAATTAATTAACAATTGTGTTAAATATAATTAATAAAAGAAATCAATTATAAGTAACTTTAATAATGTATATAAATTCATTGTCTAATAATAATTCAATTTTAATTTCCATATTAATTCATTTAAAATATTTATCTCAAACATTAAAAATAAAAAGTTTTTTATTTGTTATAAAAAAGTTGTTTTTTAGTGCCGACAAAAAAGCTGTAATTTTAAGCAAACCTTTTCACTGCATATGAAAACACGTGAAAAAAATCATCTCAAAAGTGACCACAAAATTAATTATCCGTTCAATTAGTCCTCATATTAGTCTTTATTAAGAGGCAATTATCACCAAAACGATGGCCCACTCGACGAATATCATCGTCGATGGACTGCCGAAGAATTTGGTCAACAATATCATCGAATCGGCGGTAAATATAACCACTAATACATAGCGACTAAACACACGTTAATTATATGTGAGTATCGGTTGTCCCGCAAAACAGTTACCGAAAGGCGTGTTTGTGAGCGAAGAGGCCATGAATGCCATTCACAAGAGCGCCACCGTATTTATCATCCAATCGGTGGCCAACGCCTGCCTGTCGGCCAACAGCGACCACTTGACGCCAGATATGATCATCGCTGCGACCAAAGCCATGGGTTTCGACGCCTTTGAACACCCGTTACGCCAACGACTCAATGGTTTGTCGCTTTGTTTTTATGGTTTCAATTTGTATTTTGTTTTTTAATTGCATTTTTGTTGTTGATTTGTTAAGAGTTGTCACAAAACAAGACAACAGATGATAATCACATTTCTAGTAATGACAGCAAAAGAGTCCGCAAATGAAGATATCGTTTGAATGATATGAGAGGACAATCCAGAGGTCGATAATAAGGATAATTTGTTAATTAAAATTAAATTATTGAAACTATTTGTCAATTATTATGAATGTCTTTCTCAATAGTTTTGTATTAATTTTTATCTTTTAATTAGAAATATAATACTTTTCTTTTCTTTCAATAATTTATTTAATGAGTGATTATTAATAATTTGCTAATTAGTTATTAAAATTTTTAATTTGGACAATTTATTGTGATACAACACTTGTTTTAATATACAATTTTAATGGACAATATACTGTATAATGTTTTGTTTTGCCCTTTAATTAAAAATTAGAAATTTAATGATAAATATATTTATACCAACTGAACAAAACTATTTCACAATTAACTGTTAATTGTTTACGAAATGAACTGAATATATCTATTATCCAATCAGTAGACTGTTTACGGTATAACTCATGAGAAAAATAAGATAATTGTCTGTAAAAACAAGTGATATTTTTAATTGATAGATAGAATAATAATTATAAATCGGTTTCAAAATAGCATTCGCCTAAAACTCTTTAATTTGATTATGATCGCAAACTTATTCAAGAAGTCATCCATGATGCAATTTAGTGTAAAGAGTTGTGAAAGAAGTGATCTAAATGGTTTAATCAATCTTTATAATCAAATAAAAATTGCATGCTAAATTGTGTTTATAAATAGCTACAATCACACATTATTATAGACTTATAATTCACACAAATTTCGTTTATATAAACTTATAAATTAATACTAAAAAGTTGTAACAATCTATCTACTGTAGATAGCGGCTTTTTAGCATTAATTTATAAGTTTATATATACGAAATTTGTTTGAATTATAAGTCTATAATAATGTGTGGCTACAATAATAAAAAGTTATAAAAACCAAAAATAATATTTATTTATTAAAAACATAAAAAAGGGAAAACAATTTATTTTCCTTACAGTTTAAAAGGGGTTTAAATCAAAAATATTTAAAATCTAATTATATATACGGGAAACTAATGTGTGAGTCAAAGTTGAAACTCATCGGGCATTGTTATGTCATTCATCGTATTGTACCTATCTAAAATAGTGCACACTTTCCAATTACCCCCATTAATCCATAGCAAGCGTTGAACATAGTCGCGGGTGTCAGCGCTCGCCCAGTGGGCCGACTGTATTTCACCGACCAGTTCCTGCGCCTCGAGCTCCAGCTCACGACACATGTTAGCCAATTGGCGCATAGCGTCCACCACTGGTATGCCGTGCATACGGACCAACACAGACACCCCGTTGTAGGCGCCGTCCACTCGTCCGCCGGCGTCCAACACCTCCTTCTCGAAGGAGTAGATGTCGTTACACATGACTCCCGCTTTGGACAGCACTTTAAACAGTCGCTGGAGGCGTGGGTTATGCCACTCGTCTTCCGGTACGAACAGATTGTGCGCGTATTCGCACATATGGTATATCGGCAGAAACGCCACCGATATTCTCCTTACCTATTAATGGAGTTATTATTACATTATTATTTAATTATTAACAACAACAAAATATGCATATTTGTTTATTTTGAATCTTATAAACCACATTATGCATACATGTTAGCTGTTTCTTTAGCACACATTCTCTAGCTGAATTGTGGTTAAAAATGTATCCAAGCTTAAATCAATGATTTTGTTTTAAAATAAGGGCGCAAAAATGGCTTACCTCGTAGAATTCATCGAGATGGCCATATTCCTTTTTATTATTCAAATCTAGGCATTCAGTCATCATAGAGTCGGTCCATTCGGTCCAGAGTTGAATAAACCGCCGGCGCTGGACATCATTCAGAGCGCTAAAGATATGCTCCTGAATGGCGTAACTGCCCAACACATACGGCTTCCAGTGGTGTGCGGACACGTGCTCGCCCTGTGGGCCGGCCAACAGCTTAGCGTACACCTGATAAAGCTGATCAAGTATTGGACTCGCTTTGGCCGCCTGTCGGTCAATGTCACCGTACGGGGTCTCCAAGTGGTCATCAATGATATTAAAGTTGATCATTTGCCGGTTCAGCACATCATACCTGTGTAGGAGTGACCAAATAAATGTTTGTTGTTAACGATCGAGATTACATATTAGTGTTTGAGTCCGCCTACCGGTCCTCATCCGTAATGAATGGGTAGAAATAAGCGGTGTATAGCCCGGTGTTGGCCAACCGGTTGTACTGCTCCGGCGTAAACAAACTGGACTCCAGGAGCCACTGCCTGGACTGGGCGTCTATACGCGCGTGGATTTGGTTGTAATGATAGGGCAATACTGTGACCGCTTCCGCCGGCAGCGGGTATTTTCGACCCGGTTTATTGGTCTCGTTGTGGTTCATTGCTACCGTGGCCACAGTTTGGGCTGTTTTTAAATCTACAAATATTAATTAATTCTTTTAATATACAAATTCTATATATAAAGCTATACTAACATTTTTGTTGTAAATCTTTTTAAATGCTCAATTTTTTCTATCAATAAAGTAGTATTTGAATTGAGCAAGTTATATTGTAGTAGATATATTGAGAGGACCGAAATGTTTTTAATTTAAATGCCCGTATGTGTTAATAGGTACTTATTAGACTCTTTAACGCTAATATTATAAATAAAATATATAAAACATAAGGGCATGCTTAATTTTTTTATATGAAAACATGTGGAATTCGTTTTTATAACATAACCATAAACGAACAAATAAACATAAAATATAATTTTATTATATACATTAATCAACAATGTTTCTACCTAGAGTATTCTAACTGTATAGACAGTGACGATCAGGTAATCAACGACTTTTGTACTGAAACTGAGGCGATTCCCATTAAGCAGTCACTGCCCGTTACGGCCGATAACATTACCAAATATTGTAATTTACAAAAAGTTGGCGATTCCAACAATACATTGTAAGTTATTAAATGAAAATTCAAATCTATTGACATTTCTAATTGATTTCAATAAAGCGGATGTATAATATAATTTAATATATTTCAAACTTTGCTATTATAGACTTTTGATACCTCTATTGGATAGCATACCCCATATTTAACCAGCTTTAGTTAAGATAGAGCCTGAACATGAGCATCACAAAATTACTATGATTGAGTCGTGATTTAAATAATTTTTTGCTACAACAAAATAGATACAAGGAACTTTAGTTTGCATTTTTAAAATTTTGTCTAACACGTTTAGCTTGAAAGATATAACCGATATAATTATAATAAATATAAAGTTTAATGAGGATAACTTGTTAATTAACATTAAATTATTACAACTATTTGTGAATTACTATGAATGTCTTTCTCAATGATTTTGTATACATTTTTATCTTTTAATTAGAAATATAAAACTATTCTTTTATTTTGTTTCAATAATTCATTTAATGAGTGATTTTTAATAATTTGCTAATTAGTTATTAAAATTTTAAATTTGGACAATTTGTTGCAATACAACAATTGTTTCAATATACAATCTTAATGGACAATATATAATGTTTTGTTTTACCTTTAAATTAAAAATTAGAAATTTAATGATATATTTAATACCAATTGAACAAAACTATTTCACAATTAATTGTTTACGTAATGAACTGAATATATCTATTATCCAATCAGTAGACTGTTTATGGTATAACTCATGAGAAAAATAAGATAATTGTCTATAAAAACATGCTATATTTTTTATGAACTTTTAATTATGAAAAATGGCCACATAACGTCCGATTAATTAATAGAAACCCCTTTTTATACCATAATTAAAATGCAGAGTAAATTTACATTCATCACATATACACGACAACACCGGCACATAACCAGATACGGCACATACTGTACGGCTTGTGTCGTCCCATTAGATATCAATTGATGATAATTTTTTTGTGACATTAAATCTGGTTTTAAACACAAGATATTGGATGGCAAACAAGTTTTGCAATTTGTTTTCGCAACTCATTTAACACATAAATCTGATAATAAAAATGTTTTATTCAACAAAATATATGGTGTTTTTCTCTCAAACCCTTTGCATATACTGCCGATGATTATGAGAACCGCTTTAATCCGCACTGATTTGGCCCATATTTGGCGACCATTTAAAGCCAATAGTCGCCATATATTGATATTTTGTACAATCTTTGCCTTCAAATCCATGAATATTTGCAGATAATTTCCATGCATTCAATTCCGTCACTCAATTCCCCTATAAATACGTTAATTGAATACAATTTCTACTTCTTTCGCAGTTTTTTGGATTCATTTATTGATTATTTGCCAAATTTGTCATGTATTTTAGCTTTGATTTAAGTTTAGTGTCTGTTTTATACGTAAATTAAATGAACATGTTGGTGCCACTCATTAAATATTAGTGTTTAATCACTGTTTTAATGATTATGTGAATCAATTAAATCATTGTTATATTTTAAAATGTGCGTTTAATTAGTTATTTTATTAATATTTTTATTAAAAATCAAATCAATGAGTAATCTATGGAAAATTTATTAACACGTTTTAAATGTTAGTAAATTTGCAATAAATACTTTGTTCATTAAAACTCGAGCATTTATCCCATGATATTTATTTATTATTTATATTTATTATTTAATAATAATAATAATGACTACAATTCTGTTCATCAATTCTGGATTACATTCAAAAAATATGTGTAATATATATAAAATTGATTTTGAAAATAAAAATATCAATTAATTAATTATTATGTTTAATATATCACTAATTATTGCGCAAAACATGTGATTTACGAATGTTTATATGAAGATAAAATTGAAGGAATAAATCGGTATAAACTGGTTACAACCTTGATTATTTTCATTAGCCTAATAAATATTTTCAAGTTTATTTTAAATCTAGAATTTTAAAAATTTTAAATTAAATATTTGTAATGTAGATTATTTTATAAATTTCTTTAACTAATTTTATAATTATAACATATATTTATTAATTATTTTTACGAGTTTATTATGTAAACACTGCTATATTTCAAAAAATTAATATTACTTATTTTAACCTAAAATTTTAATCTTAATATTGTTTTCAAAAAATATTTACATCAAACATGGTGTATTTATACGATAATTTACAAATCTAGTTCATTTATAAAATGCATAGTTTACAAATATTTAATTTCAATTAAAGTTTTCCAATAATCTGTTAGTATTAAAGTGGAAATTTACCATATTTTAAATTTTATTATACAAGTCTTTGAACCATTTCTATCAATATATGTAAATTTCCTATCAACAGGAAGTTTACAATGTATTCTTATTACTTGCACACGTAAATTAGATGTTATAATTTTATGCCCTGTGTCCATTTAATTGTTGAGAAAGAAAGAAAGAGAGAGAGAGAGAGAGGGCAATTTATATTAAATTTATTGTTGTTAAAACTACAAATTTTGCATGACCATCACTGATGTGTTACATTCGGTACAACTGGTTATAAATGTGACCAAAAAAATTTAAAATCAAAACAACGATAAGTGGTTTAATAAAGTTCTTGAGCTGACATATGGTTTCACAAAACCGATAAGAAAGCCATTTATTCACTCGTTATGTCCTGTTTTGGTTTATCGGCAAAAACCAGTTGAATTGGCAAATACTATAATCTCGGTATTAATACATTAATAATTAGCAGCATGATTAATTAGTATTGAACACTACATGCATATATTATTTCTAGCCAAACTAGCCATAAACATTGCTAACTAACCAATATCATTTCAATGACATAATAACGATGCCTAAACTTGGTTAATATAAATGTATTTCACTTGAATTTGCATTCATAAGCCATAGTATGTCATAAGATAACAATCATAAACAAAAAAGAGGCGCTCATTATCCACCAAAAAAAACTTTTCAATACGAGTGCCATTGGATGTGATAACGCGGTGTCGACTCCTTTTCGCACACATATAGAGGTAAACCAAATGACGACAATTTGAATCCAGAGTTATTTTTTCGGTGTATATAAGATGTGAGAGAATTTGCTCAAAGAATTCATACATTGAATAGCATTCAAAGCGATTTTATTCAATACTTTTAATACTTTAATAATTCAACACTTTATTATTTTTGGCAAATTCTTGACAAACATTTTTTTGTTTGTTTTTAATTAAATACTTGACTCGAGTTGTATTAAGCGAAAGAAATGGACAAAAGAGACAATCTATCGGTAGTTATCCATAAGAAGGAGGACTTGAGAGTAGAGCAGTCGGCGCTGCCATCGGAACCGGGATCTTATGGTATGCATTTTGAATGATGGTTACTTTTTGTGGGCAATGTGTTAACCCTATGGGTGTGTGTTTTGCGCTTATTTTAGAGGTCCAGTTGGCGTCCAATACTGTGGGCATTTGTGGCTCAGACGTGCACTTCTGGAAAGACGGCTGTATTGACAAGTGGGTGATTGAGTCACCGCTGGTCACCGGACACGAGTCCAGCGCCACTGTCATCAAAGTGGGCTCTCATGTCAAAAATCTCAAAGTGGGAGACCGGGTGTCCGTTGAACCGGGCGTCGGATGTATGGCCTGTCAGGTGTGCAAAGACGGCTTCTATAACCTCTGCCCCGATGTCCTGTTCTTTGGTGTTCCGCCCACTGGAGGCTCTCTTCGCCGATACTATAACCACAGCTCAGCCTTTTGTCACAAGTAATTGTCTTAATAATAATTGTGTTAATTTTGTTGTAAAATAAATTACAAATTATAACATGTATTGAAACGTATGAATAGACTGCCGGATAACATGAGCCACGGCGAGGGCGCTCTGATGGAGCCGTTGGCCGTTGCCGTATACGCCTGTAAAAGGGCTGGCATTACAGAGGGCTCGGGTCAGAGGGTAATGGTGACCGGCGCCGGACCGGTGGGCCTATTGTCAGCGTTGGCGGCCAAAGCGATGGGCGCTCAAGACGTTTGCATTTTAGACATTAACGAGAGTCGACTGAAATTCGCTCAACAAATGGGAATCAATAAGACAATACTCATTGACACCAAACTGGACACCGAATCGTTGGCCAACGAAGTGATCGCAATCCTCGGCGACAGTCCAGACATAACCCTCGAGTGCAGTGGCGCCGAGTCTTCACTTAATTTAGCCATTTATGTCAATAAAGACGGCGGAAATGTAATTATGGTTGGAATCAATCCACGAAAAGTGTCGGTCTCTCTGTCCAGCGCCGCGTGTCGTGAAGTGAACTTATTGGGCATTAAACGGTACCGACACAGGTATGTCCATACGATTAATCATGATAAAGTAAACATGGTTGTAATGTGTGTTGTTTTGTAATGACCAACAGTTTCCCTTTGGCCATATATCTGGTTTCTTCGGGCAAAATAGATGTGAAGCCATTAATTACACACAAATATCGCATTGAAGAGGCGTTGGAAGCGTTTCATACGGCCAGCTCTCCCACGAGCGGTGCTATCAAAGTACAAATTGAGTGCTTTGAACAGTCTTAGAGTGCTTTTTTCTAACCATATTGCTTTTTTCAATTGATTCTATACGTCAATTGTATTTTATATTATTTAAATTTATGTTATAATTAATTCGTAATTACAGTAGTTTTAATAATTTTATGTTATATACAATAATAGATTAATGTAAATATATTTTTAATGATATTTTTGTAATTATATTTTACAAATAAATGAATTAATACTCAATTAATTGTAGCTTATTTTCTTTCATTAAAGTAATTAATTAATTGTTACATTAAAATAGTAAGAATATATTCATTAATTAACTGATAAATAATTGAATTTTTAGTATTAATTGCAAACATAATATTAAATATTAAAATACAAACCATAATATGGTAAATATCATACAATTATAAAACTTATTTTGTATTAAAAATCATTTTATTGAGTTAAATGTAAAAAACGTGGTAAAATCCTAACGACTTGAGCAAAATAATCAAATATAACATTTGATTGTATGTACAGATTGTGTACTACAGAACATCACAAACACAGATAACATACAAAACCAAAACACATTTACGAATAACTAGATTGAAAAATAAATAAATTAATAATAAAAATCACATAATTTGTCAAATTGTCAATTAATTGAATACAACAATAGCAATGATAAGCGTAATCGCAATTAATACCGACCAGTGATTGGGTTTGTGTTTAGCGGGCATTGAATTAAACAGATATATCTGTTCGTACGAGTAGTTAGTCTTAGCGCCGGTATATAAGGGCTGGTAGTTATAGATGAGTAGCTCTGACTCCTCTTTGGCGTTAATCACAGGTCTTATAGATTTGCGGCACTCATTCACAAAGAAGTTGGCCATATATTGGCTCACTTTAATGGCGTTGGGCTCGTGAGGAATATTCTGGTGCATCGGATTGTAGGCGAACTCAAACTGGTTCTTCTCGGGATGCCATTGGACGCGATATATGGGACGGTTCGGGTCCACCGACTCAATCATCGACACATACACCACACCATTCCTGTCGGTGTTTGTCGACAATATTGTGAAATTGCTCTTCAGATCGGGTTTGCTGTTGAATGTGTCTAAAGTGACACACTTTTTGTGATAGTTGTAAGCGATTG